GAGAGAGAGGCTGTGTGTGTGTGAGAGAGAGAGAGAGGCTGTGTGTGTGTGTGTGTGAGAGAGAGAGAGAGAGAGAGACTGTGTTTGTGTGTGTGAGAGAGAGAGTCTGTGTGTGTGTGTGTGAGAGAGAGAGGCTGTGTGTGTGTGTGTGTGTGTGTGTGTGTGTGTGGAGATTCTGCCTTTTTATTAAATCCTGGTTATTCAGCATCTTGATAAAAACCAAAAGAACTGGGGATGCTGTAAATCAGAAACAAAAACAAAGTTCCTCAGAACTGAGGAAGGGTCACCGGACCTGAAACGTTAACTCTGTTTTTTCCTTCACAGATACTGCCAGACCTGCTGAGCTTTTCCAGCAACTTTGTTTTTATTCAGTATCTTGACTCCATTTAACTGTATTTCGCTTGATATCCCCTTGCCCCATTAACACACCCATTGCAGTCTCTGAAAGCTCCAATTAACCCCAGAATCTACACCTTTCCTGAGGAAGACAGTTCTAGATACACCCCCCCTCCCCACCTGCCCGAGTGGGGGAGTGTTTCCTGCCGGCCCCCTGAATGGCCTGGCTTGTTCTGCTCTCTCCCCCTCCCCAGAGGAAATAGATTCGCTTCATTGACCCAATCAACTCCTTTCATCATCTGAGTGATCTCTATGGGATCACCCTTTAATCTTCAATATTCGGCGGATTACAGTCCAATTGATACAACCCGGCCTCCCCGGGATCATTCGGGTGAATCTGCTCTGCCCCCTCCAAGGACAGTCTCCTCTTCCTGAGTTGTGGGGCCTGAACCGAGATCCTCCTGATGGGGCTCTGTGAAACTGTCTGTCCTGCTTTCCTTTATCAGCTGTGTTATAAGGAGGACATAGCACTGTGCTAATGTCACTGGGACAGTGACTCAGAACCCTGGGCTGATGACCTACAGACATGGTTCAAATCCCACTAGGACAGATGGGGAAATTTAATTTGAGGTTACCATTTATTCCTTGTTGACTGTTTACAAACCTATCTGGTTCACTAATTCCCTTCAGGAGAGGAATCTGACCTCTTTCCCTGATGTGGCCTACATGTGACTCCAGACCCTCAGCAATGCTGTCAACTCTTAACTGTCCCCTGGGCAATAAATGCCATCCCAGCAATGATACCCACATCCTAGACACAAGCACCATAAAGAGAATCTGCCAGCTCCTCAGTAAGCACATCACTATAAATATCTTTAATCCAAATGTTGCTCTCTTCAAATAGACACATCTTCCTGTTCGACAAGGCTGTCATTGTGTGTAAGAGACGTGGAGATAACTATGAAATGAAGGAAGTAATTGACTTGAGCATTTACAAGATAACAAACAACCCAACAACAGACAAGGAGAATAAAAAGGTGAGTGAGGGCCATGTGACAATGTGTTCCCTGCCTGCCCCTGTCGCTATGCCTCACTCTCACAAACACATTTTCCTGACTTCACTTCCAAATTACTGCCAACATCAATTTCCAACCCAATATCCTCACAGTAAGACAACACCCTGTGGCCATGTCATCCACTGAGTCAGCTACTGCAGTGAAGTATTCATCTACTGAAACCCTCACATTGAAGTGTAACTCTTGCATTCCACACCTGAGCACCCTCAATGATAATGTAACAGAAAGAGCAGGCCATTCAACCCATCAAGATATCAAGAACTTCCGATGCTGGAGTCAGTCAATACAGTGTGGAGCTGGAGGAACACAGCAGGCCAGGCAGCATCAGTGGAGTAGGAGAGCCGATATTTCGGATTTACACCCTTCATCAGGATTGGTGAAGGGTCTAGGCCCAAAAGGTGGACTTTCCTGCTCCTCTGATGCTGCCTGGCCTGCTGTGTTCCTCCAGCTCCACACTGTATTGAGCCTGTTCAACCAATCAGTGAGATCATCGTTGATCTGATAATCCTCATCTACACTTGCCTGCCTTTTCCTCATAACCCTTGATTTCCTTACTTCCTTATCTCAGTCTATCTCAGCCTTTAATATACTTATTGACCCAGTCTCTACAGCCCTCCGAAGTAAAGAATTCCACAGATTCCTTATGCTCTGAGAGAACATCTCAGTCCTAACTGGGCAACCCCTCATTCTGAAATAATGCCCTCTGGTCTTAGACTCTCCCACAAGGGGATACAATCTCTCCACATCTCCCCTGTCAAATCCCCAAAGAAATTTGTATGTTTTAATCAGGTCGCCTCTCATTCTTCTTAACTCCAGTCAGCACAGGCTCAACCTACTCAACCTCTCCTCATTAGGCAGTCCCTCCATCCCCAGGATCAGTCAAATGAACCCTCTCCAGACCTCCCCCTCTAACCCTAACCTTAACCCCTCTAACTGCAACCCTAACCCCCTCTCACACTAACCTTTACCAACTCTCACCATAACCTTAACCCCTTCTAACCTTCTGAAGAAAGATCACCGGAACTGAAACGTTAACTCTGTTTTCTCCTTCACAGATGCCGCCAGACCTGCTGAGTTTTTCCAGCAACTTTGCTTTTGTCCCTTCTAACCATAACCCTAAACCCCTCTAATCCTAACACTAACCTCCTCACACCAACCTTAACCCCCCTCACCACAATCCTAAACCCCTCTAACCCTGATCCCCCTCACCCCAAACTTAACTCTCCTCACTATAACATTAACCTTCCTCTAACCCTAACCCTAACCCTCTAACCCTAACCCCCTCTAACCCTAACCCTAAACCCCTCCCATCCTAACCCCTTCTATCCCTAACCTTAACCCCCTCTAAGCCTAACCCTCCTTTCTAGAATGGAGAATGCTGCCCTGAGCTACCAGGACTTGCACTGGGTTTTCAGGATAGCTGTTATTGTTCAATTGTCTCCTCCAATTTATTTAGTTCCTGTGTTCTTGTTAATGCAGTGGTCACATGGATTCTATCTCACACATCTGCACGGCCAAAATGGGTTTGAATTCTTCTGTAAGACAAAAGACTTGAAGAAGAAATGGTTGGAACAGTTTGGAATGGCACTGTGAGTATCATAGAGTCATATAGCACGGAAACAGACCCTTCAACCCCACTCATCCATGCCAACCAAGTTTCCTAAACTAAACTAGTCCCATTTGCCTGCATTTGTCCCATATCCCTCTATACCTTTCCTATTCATGTACCTGTCCAAATGTCTTTTAAATGTTGTAACTGTACTTGAATCTACCACTTCTTCTGGCAGCTCATTCCACATATGAACCATTTTCTGTGTGAAAAAGTTGGCTCTCAGGTCCCTTTTAAATCTTTCTCCTCTCAACATAAAAGTATGTCCCCTAGTTTTGAGCTCTCCCACCCTAGGGAAAAGACTTTTACTATTCACCTTATCTATGCTTCTCACGATTTTGTAAACCTCTGTAAGGTCACCCCTCAACCTCTTATGCTCCATTGGAAAAGGTCTCAGCCTATGCAGCCTTTCCTTATAACTCAAGCCCTCCATTCCCAGCAACATCCTGGTATATCCTTTCTGCACCCTCTCCAATTTAATAATATCCTTCCTATAACAGGGTGACCAGATCTGGACACAGTACTCCAAAAGTGGCCTCACCAACATCTTGTACAACCTCAGCATGATGTCCCAACTCCTGTACTCAATGGTCTGAGCAATGAAGGCAAACATGCTAAACACCTTCTTAACCCCCCTGCCTACCTGTGATGCAACTTTCAAAGAACTGTGTACCTGAACCCCCAGGTCTCCCTGTTTGGGAACACTACCCAGGGCCCTATCATTAATTGTATAAGTCCTGCCCTTGTTTGTTTGATGAAAATCCAATACCTTGCATTTATCTAAATTAAACTCCATTTGCCACTCCTCAGTCCATTGGCCCAATTGATCAAGATCCCTTTGTAATCTTAGATAACCTTCTTAACTATCTACCATACACCAATTTTGGTGGCATCCACAAACTTACTAACCATGCTTCCTATATTCTCATCAAAATTGTTTATATAAATGACAAACAACAGTGGACCCAGTACCAATCCTTGTGGCACACCACTGGTCACAGGCTTCCAGTCCAAAAAACAACCCTCCACCACCATCCTCTGTCTCCTACCATGAAACCAATTTTGTATCCAATTAGCAAGCTTCCCTGAATCCCAAGTGATTTAACTTTACAAATTAGTCTGTTACCTTCAAGAAGCAGAAATCTAACACGACAATCATTCCAAATCTCAAGCCTATCTTTCATCCCTGAAGTTTTTATACGCATACTGAACATGGCCATGTTTCCCAAATCTCCTCCATTCACATCCGTCCTGCTCTCGATCATCAGTAAAGTGATCGAAGGTGTCAGTAACAGCGCTATCACACAGCACCTGCTCAGCAATAACCTGCTCAGTGACGCCCAGTTTGGGTTCCGCCAGGGCCACTCAGCTCCTGACCTCATTACAGCCTTGGTTCAAACATGGACAAAAGAGCTGAATTCCAGAGGTGAGGTGAGGGTAACAGCCCTTGATATCAAGGCTGCATTTGACCGAGTATGGCACCAAAGAGCCTTTGTGGGAATACTTGTCCATTTGTGGATTATGTGAATTGAAAATGTTCGATTTCTGGCAATTCCTCTGTAGTGAAGGATGTATCATTCAACTTTTGGAATCCAACATTGAAAATCACAAATGAACTAGTCTCATCTGCTATTTACAAAAAGCCAAGTGATTTTGCCAAGTGATAAGAAGGTGCTCAATGGCCTTTAGTTGCTCAGCAAACATTGGTTTTAGAGGATGCCCCATATTCAGGATAACGTGGCCACAGCCTCTGGAATGAACATACTCTGTTTTTCAGTAAAACTGAATTTGGTCAGTTAGGAATGGCCCTTCAATCTGAAAGGAGCAAATTCTCTCCTGAAAAGTGGCAGTGAGGAAAATTAGATGGAACGCATTCTTCTCTCTCAGCCAGTAAGAGAGAACATTTCTTGATTAAAAACCATTTAAAGGCTGGTTCTCTCTCAGTGAGGTAGCTTGAAAAACCGAACTAAATTTCAGAAATCAGAACTTCTACTTATCATCCATTTGAATTGAAAATCTACTTCAAATATCATCCATCACTTTGTGAAACTGACAGCAACTTGATCTCATCAGCAGGAAACTGAAGGAACTGTGAAAAATCAGTTTATTTCACCCTTTTTGTTTAGACCCTTGATCCAAAAGTGATCTTTATCCCTGAATTTCCAAACACAGAATACATTGCAGAACTACGTATGAAAGTGTGTTTGACCAATTAATAATAAACATGTTTTAAGTCCACGCAGTAGCTTAGTTATTAAGCTGTTTCGCTACATGTTTAGCAAATAGGTTTGGGTTGCTAGAAACTGAAAGAACTGTGGATGTTGGAAATCGGAAACAAAAACAGAAATTCCCAGAAAAGTTCAGCAGGTCTGGCAGCATCTGTAGAGAGAAATTGGAGTTAACATTTCGGGTCTAGTGACACTTCCTCAAAACTGATGGTAGTGAGGAAAAAGTTGTTTCTTCATTTTTTGAAAAAATCTGCTTAAAGTCTCTTTTGTTCAGATTGACAGAGAAACAAATTGAACATTTTGGTGATGAAATAGATTGTTTTGTTCTTTCGGTGTGGTTCATGGACAAATGGGGCTAATTACCAGCTTGCTCCTCATTTCATTGTCGTAACAGCTGGTAGTGTCCATCCATCTGGGCCAGAACGTCCAGGTTCAAGCCCTATCTCAGGGTGTGATAGTAACAGCAGTGTGTCATTAAATGTCCAAACACTGGTTCATGTATAAAAAACTTGGCATCAGAGGCAGTGAAGCTACTATCAATTGTAACAAAGCTCATCTGGTTCACTGATGTCCTTTAGGGAAGGAAACTACCATCTTTACCTGGTCTGGCCTACATGAGACTCCACACCGACAGCAATGTGGTTGACTCTGAACTGCTGTCTGAAATGACCTAGAGAGTTAAACAGTTCGAGGACAGGGGGGAGGCGTAAGGAATGGTGACCTAGCTGGTGATACACACATCCCATGAAAGAATTAAACAAAACCGCAGTGGTTCCTGGAGTAGTGTTTGTTTCTGAAGCTCGTCTCTCACCTCCGTTTTTTGTTTTGTTTCTGTACCTCGATTAGATCAAACATCCGGCCAGAGAACGCCAACAGCAACAACCACACGTTCAGTATGCACAGCTTCGAGAGGGTCACATGCTGCTCTGCATGTCTGATGCTGCTCAGGTGAGACTGTGAGAGAGAGGGTCACTGTGAGAGAGAGGGTCATTGTGAGAGACTGTGAGAGAGAGGGTCACTGTGAGACACTGTGAGAGAGAGGGTCAGTGTGAGAGACTGAATGAGAGAGGGCCACTGTGAAAGACAGTGAGAAAGATGGTCACTGTGAGAGAGAGGTTCACTGAGAGAGAGAGGGTCACTGTGAGAGACTGTGAGAGAGAGGGTCACTGTGAAAGACTGAGAGAGAGAGGGTCAGTGTGAGAGACTGTGAGAGAGAGGGTCACTGTGAGACACTGTGAGAGAGAGGGTCACTGTGAAAGACTGAGAGAGAGAGGGTCAGTGTGAGAGACTGTGAGAGAGAGGGTCACTGTGAGACACTGTGAGAGAGAGGGTCACTGTGAGACACTGTGAGAGAGAGGGTCAGTGTGAGAGACTGAGTGAGAGAGGGCCACTGTGAAAGACAGTGAGAAAGATGGTCACTGTGAGAGAGAGGTTCACTGAGAGAGAGAGGGTCATTGCGAGAGACTGTGAGAGAGAGGGTCACTGTGAGAGAGAGGGTCATTGCGAGAGACTGTG